AGCCTCTGTGTCCCACTCCTCAACAATCTTGGGAAAGGGCAAGAGGGGAAGGCTACCCACAGCCTGCAGAGGCACCCTTGAGAAAGGGCCAGGGCAGCAAGAGGGCCTCCAGTTCCTTGGAAAAGGACACCACCCCTGAAGAGGCAGAGGCCCTCAAATGCTGAAAAAGAAGGTGCTTACATGGGCCTTGTGAATAATAAAGAGAAGCCCAGTGGCACTGGCACCACTAGTGAAGCCAGGCGCAAAAGGCGCCTAGGCAAGCAGTGGGCAGGCCTGATAGTGAGGAGTCCATGGACACTCACATCGACCAGCTCCACAAAGCCTTGAAAAAGGCAAAGGAGCGAAAAGAGCAGTTGAGGGGTACCAGCCCCTCTCCTGGAAGGGTGTCCTCCAGCTCCTCCAACACCCCAGACTGGAGGAGACCCACTGGGCCCTCCAGACCCCTATCTTCAAGGGGCAGAAGAAGAGAATGCCCAGGAGGCCAGAGTCCTCAGGAGGCAGAGAAGCCTCTCCAGGACCAAAACTGGTTTAGAGGCATCCAAAAAAGCCTTGCAAAAGGCAAGAGAGGACCTTGAAGCAGGAACCAGAGCATGCTGCTCGTGTAGCGCATGCACATGCACTTGATGCTGCCACTCATCTAGCAGGGCCTGAAGATCTGCTCCGGCATCTCCAGCAGCACCGCGTGCCCATAGTCCGTTGCGCTGATAATGCCATCAACCTCTAAACGGCTACACCAGACCCGAGTAAGCACTCCAGCAGCTCCAAGTACGACACCAATGTACTCGGACGCATCCTGTTGCTCGCCATTGTACTCCCAGTGACCTGAAATGGCACGAAGAGCAGGGGTCTCACTCAGGACAGTTCTCAAGCCAAACTGAGCACGAGAGCGTAAATACTCCACGAGAGGGCGTAGGGCAGGGGGCACACACCTGGCCAGAGCGCAGGCATGACAGACAGCCAGTATGCTAGCATTCGCATAGCAGTGGTTGCCGGGATTGATCATAAGTCGAGGCGTCCATACCGGGCCCGCACCTCTTCGACGCAAGCCGTTGCCCGCCCCTGGCTGCTCAGCGCCCATGGCCGCCCCAACTGCTTCTCCCCGTGCCCCCTGCCTAACACGGGCCAGCCAGCCCCAGTGCCTGACCAATGGGTGAGTTCTCGATCTTGTAACTGGCGTAAGCCGGACTGGACTTGTCCTGCCTCTTTTGCGCACCAGCGGTGATCTCCCTGACCTGTTGTAGCCGCCCCTGTCGAGCCAGCGACCTGGTGGCCAGACGCCTGAGTCAACCGCCTTACTGCCGCAAAACTGGCACGGTTTCTGGACCACTGCCTGCAAGCTGGCCATCTCACCCTCGATCTCCGCCTGCACGCACCTCCAGGCCACTGCGTGCGTCTGCCGCCAGTGTGTTTTAATTTTCTGCATGCTTATGAGCCTCTGCCCGCAAATGGCACACGCCTTGCGTAGAGTATCCAGCAGCTCCACCCTGTTCAGGATATCCTGCAGGGGCTTCCGTAACCACACTTCTTCAGGTACAGCCTGGCCCGAATCCAGCCCATGTGGAGGAGATGGAGGATCTGCACATTCTTGCTGTCGAACCTCATGCCACATCTCATCAAGACTCTGTCCAGTTGCTGTACGGGACTTCAGGCGGCTGCACTGTCCACTGGAGATATGCTTGCGCAAGGCGCTCCAGTCATGCATCCTACCCCTGCATAGACGACATATTGGCACTCCAAACAGAGAAAATTGTCCCCTATTGAAGGGCACGCCAGAGTCCACGTGAACCCTACCATGTCGATGTTTAATAGTTTAATATGCATTGCAAGGCCCTCGGGCGCGCCAAAGCTAAGTCCACATACATCACAACTGTGTCCCAGGCCCGGCGTCGACTCGATCTCGATGAGCGAGGAAGTCGGCTGCTTGATGTGAATGCCTTGCAATCTGCTTATGTTCTCCGAAAGCTGCTCGATCTCTCTTGCCTTGGCCTGGCTGGTGCGAGGGTCCTGCTCCAGTCGTTCAGAGAGTCGTTCAGCAGCCTGCAGAAGCTCAGCATGAGGGGCAATGCCGGCACGTTCTAGCACCTGTAGGTTCGTGACGCCTTTCTCGTGCACCCGAAGAACTTTACGTAGATGGACACTGAGGGAACTTACCAGCTCGTTGTACGTGCTTTGTGTGATGCCTGCTGCCACCAAGCCATAGCGCATGCTGCTCCACACGCACGCCACATAGACCCGCCTCCGTCCACTCGGCCCAAAGCTGCTGTTGGTGCGCAAGACCTTGCTTAGCTGCCCAAATCTTTGATTTGCTTTGCTTATCCGATGCCTCAATGTAGCCTGCTCATAGCCGGCATAATTCAAGATAACACCAAGGTAAGCAATCTCTTCGACAATGGGAATGTACAGACTGCCCTCCACGCATGGTACACGAAGCTGATATTTGTCCTTCCACATGCAGGAGTAGGCGCTCCGCTTGTCAGTACCCGTCAGCGATAAGAGCACCCCTGACTTCTCCAGGTTCACATCTAGCCCCAAATCGCGCAGAATATGAAGCATATATGAGAACTCCCGAAGAGCCTTCCTCAAATCACACGCAGAACGGATCTCCCAGAACCCCAGTGTGTCATCGGCGAAAATGCTAGCATGTGTCACGCACCATCCAGCGCCCAGCTTAGCATCTAGAAGCCTACACAAGCGCGCAGTCCAGGCAGCATATAAGACCGGCGCCAAAGGGCATCCTTGCCGAAGTCCACGTGTCATCTCGGCCATGGCTTCTCTGCCTGCTTGTCGGATGAGGCATTGTGTCTGCGTGTGCACCCTCACCACGACCGCAACTAACCGAGAGTCAACTCCAAGCTCTTCAAGCGCACACTGGATCTCGCTATGTGGTACAGTGTCAAAAGCTTTAGCGAGGTCAACGCTAGCCATCATTCCCCCTGCAAGTCGACAGCGCTGTGTGCCCGCAACCCGAGCTGCATAGTCCTGCCTGCTGCGCTGAAGGAGAGCCCGAACTTCCCTACAATGGCTGGTGGCTCGAAGAATAGCATTGCTGGCGTCAACACCTTTGCGATATGCAAACTGCGGAGTGTCACCCAGCGCAAGGAAAACTTGCTCGCTCAGTCTCTCTTTCAGTAGCAAAAGAAAAGCCTTCGAGTCCCCAGGAGTGAGCCCTACGCTTCTCAAGCGCTGCGGCTTGGTAGGAGGCTTAGGGGGTTTAGGTAACCAGGCCAACTGAACCGTACACCACCCAGCCGGCACAAGTGGCTCCGGCCCACACAAAGCTTTTTGGGAAATAGCAGCCAACTGAACTGAAAAAGTTTTGCCATCCTCCCTCCAGGACGCAATCGGTGGATGCCCATTGGGTACCGACTTACCCGGCCGGAGCTGGGTTAAGGCACGTTGCCATTGCTCCTCGCTCAACCACTCAGCAGGCAGCGCTTGCAGAGGCGGCGGTGTAAGCCCGTACCCCTTGAACAGCCCCCTCGCATATTCAGCCAGCACACTACATTCGCATCCCGAAGGCGAAGTTTACCCGAAGAGTTCAGGCCAGAGAGCAGCTTGACACATCGAAACAAGGATCGTGCATCCCCTCTTGCCGCGGCCGCCTCCGCGCTACTAAGAAGCTCTAGCTGCCTAAGCCGCTGCCGCCTCCTGGCCCTTCGACGAATCTGCCTATGAGTTGTCATCATAAGCCAGTACTGCCGCAGGAGCTCGAAACACTGTCTAGCGAACCAGTCCCTGCCTTTTTGAACAGCGCACGGTGCTCCCAATACTGGGTTATTGTGGCTTCCAGGTTTTCCAGCTTCGGCATTTGAATCCGCGCTGGAGTCTCCACAGCGGCCCTATCCGCCAGACACCTGATGGCGCAGATGTCCTCCGACGCTGCGTCCTTTGGCTGCGCTGCCGGCAGGTCTCTCCCCTTTGTCACATCCCTCCGCCAGGGTCTCCAGCTCATAGTCAGGCTCCCCACTAGAACCCTATGCCCGCCTTTCCTCCAGGATGCGAGTGGAGTGTCAACAGGCCTCGTTCTGCGTGCATCCGCGTCTGCTGCGCCGCGTCTGGTGAGCACGTAGTCGATGAGCGACTCTCCTTTGGAGTGCACGAAGGTGCACCGCCTTTTTCCAAAAGTGTTGCAGGCAACCAAACCAAGCCTGGCCAGCATGTCCGCAGTAGCAGCTGCCTCCGCCGCATACGCCGAGGGCGTCCCCTGTTGCTCTGCGCTATTGCCCGTTAACCCAGCCGTCCTAGGGAGACTGGTGTTGAGGTCCCCGGCAATGAGAATCGCATCCCTGTACGGTATGCCTCCAACCCACTGCTCCAGCTGCTTCCAAACCTTGGCCCTCTCAGTCAAACACCTTTGTTTGGATGTCCTGTTCAGATCCCGCAGCTCGAACTTTCTGATAAACATTAAGCACGTCATAAGTGGCGCCCTCAAATGTGCATCGAACATGTAAGAGCCTTCCAGGAACTAGCTCACTCCATCTAAGAGTGTCAACTTCCACACGTTTCCTGGAAGCCAACACCATGACCCCTCCGGTCCGGCTTCGAAGGGCAGCGCTGTGTACACAGCACCAGTCTGCATCCTGCCAGTCCATGCTACTGCCCCAGTGCGTTTCCTGCAGTAGGAGCACATCAATCTCCTGCTTAGCCCAGCACAGCACTTCCGCGTACAGCGGCGCACTTAGGCCTCCGCAGTTCCACACCGCGTACTTCAGCCTCCGCGCTGACCCATCGTGCTGCCCAGTCCCTTTCCCCTTGCGCTGTCCAGCTGTCTTGTCAACAGGCGATAGTGCTTGCTTGCTTGCAGAAACAAAATCAAAAGATTGCGTCCTATGAATCATCCTGCCACGATACTTGGCAAAGCCTAAGGCGCCAAGTCTATGCATCTCTCTGCGGAAGGAACGCTTGCGGATCCCCGCCTGACCTTCCTCCGACTTGAAACATTCCCCCTTCTTCGGCACATAAGTGCCTTCCGGGCACCACGGGGGCCGGTGCCCTACCCTCACGCCAGTGCCGCCCCCATACAACTTTGCTGTTTCCAAGTGGCAGCACTCCCGGACTTGGGACCGGGCCGAGCAAAACTGACTACAGACCACTTCCTTGCCGAAGGTATTCGTTGTTCGTCCTCCCTCAACAAGTGCAGCCTTGCTAAAATCATCCGCCTTTTCTGTCAGCGTTGGCAGGGTGGAAAGGCCCAAAAACTGATTGGTCCACTTCTCGCAGCTCTGGTGGTATTGTGAGGAAGGTGATGGGGTAGTGAGTCTTACACCATCCCAGTACACTAGCATATTCGCTGGGGTCCAGAATAAAGCGCAAATCAGTCAAAACAACATCAAGAGTGCGTCCAGTCCAAAATGCTCTGGCCAGCTTGTCCGCATACAATACAGTCTCCTCACCACAACCGTCCCCTTGCAGGTAGCCGCTAAGTCGTTCTCTAATTACAATCAGCAGGTGCTGCGCAGGAGTAACGTCCATGGCATCCTATATCCACCCTCCCATAGATTTGAACCGCTCGTGGCGCTTAGCTGCTGTTGCTGCTATCATGGTTACTGCAACCACTAAACACCAAAGTACCCTTGGCGCCACAATTGTGGCAGTACTGGAGAACATGTTTGCTGTTCCCCATGCCGGCACTACCGCTGGTATGATGGATGACCAGTGACGTATTGGACCCTAACAGCCCAAACTCTCAGCGCTTACACCAAAATCCCTAGAATGCTCAGCCACCCTCTAATTCGTGATGATGGCGGGGAGACTTTGAGCAGAGTACAACAAAGTGATTTGGAAATTCAGCCACTGGCAACAGGCATGTGAAAGCAAGTAGGCTTGCATCATCCTGCGACCCCGTGCTGTCATGTGCCGTCCAGTGGCTGTAAGGAACATCTTCATCGCAGCCCCGCCAGCAGCATCGAAGCCACTGACAGCCAGGTCCTCGGCCCTTCGTCAGGCTTGTTGAAATGGATGATTTCTCAGATTTGTTCATCCTTTTAATCACACGCCTCAGATTATTGATGAAAAGCATCGCAATCCTGTGAAGGACAAGGATTTATTCGCAGAACCAGAAGATTCAACGCAAACAAAGCTGGCTGTAGCGCACAGTCCCCTTGGATGTTGTAACCATGGAACGGTTCAGAAAGCGTCAGTGGAAAGGCGCAGAGCTGGCAGGGAAATTCCTATCCCTGCTAAGTCTCCGGCACTCGACTTATAGACCCCAACTCGCAAAGCCCCGGATGAGCAGCATTTCTTGGTGCACATGTCCATCAACAGCTTCAACAGGCGGGAACGGCCCAAAAAGGCATACGGTACAATGCAAAGAAGAAGCAGCTGCAAGCAGTAAAAGGGCTAGCGAAGGAGGACGCCCACGCCTCAGAGCAGCTGAAAACTCAAACTCAGCAGCGACGAGCGGCAGAAGCGACAGAATCGGACAGGACCAACAGGCATAAAACGTGTGAAAGCTCATGCCTTAAAGAATGTCAATGCTCAACACAAAAGGTCTCCGCACTCCCCTCACCAGCACTATATCAAAGCAATCCTGGCTCGTGGCTTCCCAGCTCCGGCCCTCCCTTAGAATCACAGAATCCAACCTTCACACTCCATTGAAGGATGATTGGTTGCAGTGCGAAGTGAGAGAGGGCCCTGGGCTCTGAAAATCACTGGCAAAAAGCAATCTCAAAGTAATAATTGAACAGCCCCCCGTGATAACATGGCGAGTCCTTAGAAGCTTCACAATGCTGTTGTCCGCAGGCAAGGTTCCAGCCTCAGGCTGGCAGGGCTTGCACTGTTCCGGCATACGCCCCAGCTTGTACGCTTGTGAATGCACGCAGCAGAATGCTATCAAAAGCAACTTGCCAGTGCTACATCCAACTTCCTGTCCAGCATGTCCAGCAGTTGGAGCCGGAGCGCTGCGTGGAAGGCCTCCGTGAGCCAGCGCGGCCCGAAGTCCTCCGAGGCCATCTCCTCTGCAGACCTCAGCTCAATCACTGCATACTGCCGCCTTCCCCACCTCTGCCTCTTAGGATCTGGCAGTGGGAAACTGAGGCCGAAAAGGCAGCCTGTCCATAGTCCATAGGTCGATTATGTGACCTAAGCATGATTTGTTTCTCCATGCCTGGAAGGTGCTCCTTGGATTTCTCAGCCAGCTGTGCAGCACTCAGTGTCTTGTAGGCCGCTAGAGGCCTGTCAAGTTGAGCATTTCACCGCTCAGCCACTGGCATCAAAGCTGCAAACGTGCTTTCATACTGGCCTTGGCCTGTCAATTCGTGCAGGTCTCAGCATCCTGAAAGCATAAACGTGATTTCCAAGCCTGCAGGACAGGTTTGCGGCAGAGGCCTGGTAGGCAAGTAGGGCTTGCCCTCACGGAGCAGCCTGCAACTCATGAAGTCGGCGGAGCACCCAGTTCTGGAATAGGCATAAATGCTTCAAGGGATGACAAGAGTGCCTTGCCACAGCGGCAGCCCAGGGAACCCAGGAAGCGAAACCTGAGCACCAAACAAAGCGGGTGCCCTTCCTTGGCTGCATGCTGAAGCCAGGTGACTTTTGTACGAGAACTGCTTCTCCTGTTCAAGGTGGTCATTGTTGCTTCATGGGCATATAAGCACATATCAGCTGATACCTCCTGAAAGGCTACAGACTTCTTCGACATCCCTTGACTCACATAATTATCGCACATATCCAGCCAAATCACAGTGCAAAATAAAAGCCGGCATATCCTCGTTCTCTGGTTGAATCTCCAGTTCCATGCCATCATACACTGAACCGCATAAGGCCTGAGTGTTTCGGAGATCACGTCAGATCACTCCAGCGTCAACACTTCAAATGCACAGAAACTGCTACCAAGCAGTGATGCACTTAATATTGAAGAGAGGACATGTAATCGCAGAAAGGAGAAGGCAAGTTTTATCCAGCCTGCATCTTGACATCTTCCACCAGCGCAAGAAGCTCTGGACCAGTCCGAAGACCTCAGGCTTTCCAAGGCCTCTCTGAAGGCTGACTTGGAGTCTCAGTATCTGGATATATCTGGATGTATCTGCTACTTCGAGCCTATGCTGGCGGCCAAAACCCCACTAAGCCGACAATTGATCTTCATGCAGCGCTTTGGCAAAGCCCTGAAGGCTCGCTCGCTCAAGTCAGATTGCTTCGAGCTTGCTTCGAGCTGCTGGCACGCAAGATACAGAATCTTCTGCGAAGAACAATCCACCAATCCAGAAAGATACCCATTACAGACATCTCAAGATGTCAGGCTCAGTCCCATTCCGAGCTGCGGATGCTCACCCAGCCGCGTTCCGGCCCAGAGCCGGTTAGCCGCGTAAAGCATAGGCGGTCGTCCTGGCACTCGATACGGAAGTGCAGACCAGCTGCCAGTACAGTATCAAATTAAATATTACTACAAGCAAAAAAACGACCAGCATGACTCAGGAAGCTGTTACTATGTAGTGGTCCTTTATCGCGATCTGTCTGACCAACGAGCCAGTTGAGAGGCGCTCCTCATTTTCTGAGGTGATACAAAAACTTCAGGCAACATTTCGTCGCATCTCATGCTCACGCATCTCACGTCAAGAGCAGTAGATTCCATTTGGACAGGTCAAGCTTCGGCAAGGCAGGGCGAGCTGGTCCTGAGCTTCACGATGTTACACCAGGCCATGTTGCCATCGTGTCTCTGCTGAGGACTGGACATGCAGATAAGACTTGTGGTGTCCGGATTGACTGCAGAAAGGTCCAAACCATGCAGGCAAGGTGTGCCGCCAAAAGGCGCGAAGCCCTCCCGCACCAGCAGGCCGCCCTTGCTTTGACCTCCGCATGACTTCATCGCAGCTGTCAGGTATCAAGAGCAGAGAAGGAACGAAACTGACACCTTATCTTCATCTAGAGCCAATTTTGAGAAGTCTTTGAAGCTGTTTGTGGCACCAGCGCTTCTTTCGGCTGCAAAGAATGGCAACTGAGACGTCCATACCGGCAACCTGCCCCCCGGAAATTCTGATCTCTCGCCACTTACTTGTGGGCACCTCCAAGAACCTGCCAGACATTTCGTGGCGGCTGGAGAAGATCCTGGCAGCGCATGACATTGACCACCTATTCTGGCAAGGAAAAATGAGAAGCTTCCCATCCCTGTTGCAAGTTTGATCTACATGGCGAGCAATTCAAGATGTTGCTGCTGAACCTTTCCCACGTCTTGACACGCAAATCACACTTAGAGGTTTGTGCTTGTGCCTGCGGAAGCTTCTGAAGGTCAGGTAATTGGCCCCCTCTCAGTCTCATCTGTTAAGATCTCACCGCTGTTAGCCCAGGAGGAGCACTATGACATGATATTTCAAAATTGAGAATTGGCAAACAAGGCTGTAGTCTCTAGAGCGAGGGGGGGGCTGGACATTGCACAGGACATCGACACAAGCCGGCTAACTGCTTGACTGAATCAACCATACTGTGGACTGGTTTACCCAGTCATGCCTTTCTGACCATCCCAAGCCTGGCAGCACGTGAAATGGTTGGACTTTCCCACCTCCTTGCGCTGCTTGAGGGGAACCCAGCCCTCTGCAGGGCCCTGGCCAGCCAACCGTCGGAAGCCTAGCAGTTGCGCAGAAGGAACAAAGGCCTCAAGCCAAGAGAGTCTTAACAACAAAGTACTCCCGCGAGTCCCCGTTTCTCAAGTCTGCGTGGTTAATAGCTAATTGAAGAGCACCATTTTGCTTTGTAAAACCTCCAGGCCTGGGTCCTGCGGTGTGCATTTCCCTTCATGTCCATGTCACGACAAGACCTGAAAAGATTCCAAAACTCCCAGAATCTCCCAGAAAATGGCGCCACGATACATTTCTAGCCCAAATCTCCCCCCCCCCAAAGCTCGAGCTGAAAAGGTAGGTCTGGGCCAGAATCCCAAGCACCCGATGCATGTCGAAGCTCAGGGACGTAGCTCTCCACCCAGCCGCGAAAGCTCCTCTACCAGAGCACCTGAGGACGCAGCTCAGGGTTCCAACAACTCGCTCTTCTGGAGCTTCCTGGACAGGGAATCTGTCTGTTCCAATTAACAGCAAAACCTACTTGGCTCAGATAGATACAGTATGCCTATCTGTCCCATTTCCCGCCTGTTGACAGGCGTCCCACCTTGGGCTGCGAGCCATCCTGGAGTGAGGGTTTCGTTTTAATCCCTAGCAGCAAACATCGTTCCCCGTGCATGCCCACAGTAACAAGCCGATGAGAGATTTCCAGTGCAGCCCAATGCTCATCGGTGCGAACAAGCACGCCACCCTTGTCGAGTCCGCCCACCACCTTCCACAGTCAGCATAGCCAGATAAGACATTCTCGTACATCCAAATCCAAGCATGTTGCAAGCCTCCCAGAGGCCCCCCATCGCTAGATGGCACACCGAGGACAGGTAGTGAGAACGAGGAAGATTCCGGATTAGGTTTGTCTTGAAGCAGTGCGATACAGCACGACTGATCCAGTTTTCTGTGAGCTTAGCACTTGCTACGCATGACTTCGTACGTGAAAACAACATCTGCGAGCCGATGCATGAAACAAATCGCGGGAATATCGGTCCAAGGTCTCAAAGCTCAAGCTTGGTTTCTTCCAAACCTCCATTGCCGTCCACGAAGACCTCACAGCACTAGGGAACTGTTCCAAGCTCTGCAGTCCACTGATGTATCAAGCGCAGGGTAAATCGCACCTCGACTTCTCACCTGATGTAGCCATCGGTGCATTTCACGATGGATGCTTATGCTTGGCTGAGACCATACCGCACCCGGATAGACTCTAAAGGCGCCTGGCTTGTTTGTGTATGTTTTGCTTTTGAAATGGAAGAGCACCGTGGCATGATTCAGGACGGAGGTTCCCTGAACTGTCGTCCTGAGCACTGCGTCATCGGCAACGCGACTGAGTTTGCAACTGGCATCGCAGGCCACATAATCCTATCTTGGAACCCTTTTGCTTTCTGTTGTTCAGCGCCTTGCGGTCGAGCAGGCAGTGGAGCCCAAAGTCAGACAATGAGGAATCTTCACGAAGGTTCTTCAGCATCTCTCAGGTTGAAGCTTGCCTGACCTTGACTAGGCTCAACATTGCACGAGACCGAATAGCCTGCAGGCATATTGGAGGGCACTAGACTTCTGATTTGTCCTCACCAAGCTGAGCCTCGAGCCTACCTACCAACCTGCAGGAGGACTCACATGATAACTGTACACGGTCTTGGTTGGCACATGTCTGGCCAGATCAAGGTGAGACAATGGCAGTTAGCACCACTGAGCAGTTGTGCCTGGAGTTTGTTACCTCGTCTGTGGCCAAACTGCTCAGGAACAGTGCGGGCCCAATCCTTTGTCAACCTGCTCCCAGAAAGGGATGCAGCACGCAATTTGCATGAACGGCCGCTACTGGACAACAAGCAAATATGGAGTACAGATATCTCCATGGCTGCGCAGTTGCCTAGCAGTCTTTTGTACATGGTGGCAGCTGGCAGTGGACCAAAGCACGTAATGAGGGTGACTTGGCTTTCTTGTGACATTTTACAATGCCAACCATGCTCTGCTTTCTGTTCAGGTATGCTTGGAGGTCTGCTGCTCGGCTTCACCCCATCACTGTGCGGCGGTGACCGCAACCGCGCGGATCGCCTCGACCAGCCTCAATACATCTAAATGTTTATGCGCTTCTGCCCCCCATTCATGCGAGGCCCGTGCGCATCACAAACCCGCTCAACGTCCTCCTGCAGGAGCTGGTTCGAGGAGGGGAGGCCTGCAAGTACAAGCGAGCTAGCAGCCTTTGTCAGCAGCACCTCATGCACACGCGTCAAGCTTGGCCAATGTCTTAAGGAGACGGCAAACCAGCCGCTTGTAGAGGAGCTCAGCATTAGGGCCTAAGTCGCAAGCGACTGGACACCATCCGAATGTTAAGATCGGCAACATCACCACAACCTCGAGCCTCTGGCATGGCCGCGACCTGCCAGGGGTTGTGTGGGTGGCTAGCCACCCGACTTCCCACTTTCTCTTGGAGGCGAAGGTCTAGATCCCAAGAAAAGCATCTCCGGCGCACCATTGAGACTGAAAGATAGCCACGTTGTTGAGCGGGAAGAAGCCAGGCCTGCAAAGGAGACTAAGGAGTGGCAGCGAAATCAAAAAGCGGGAACCTAATCTCGATGTCAGGGAAGCTCTTCATCAGCTGCATACCCACCTGGGCTCCAGCTGCTCTTGCACAAATAACCTTCTACTGTAAAGTTTCTGCACCAGTGCTGCACTACTTTTTGTCCCTGCTCCATGCTCATAGGCCAAGATGCCTGCTCGCCGCCTAAGCCATCTGGAAGTAATGCCGCATTGATCCACCAAACACTATCATCACCTCCGTGCTATTTCGCAATCCATGTAACAAGCTCATGAGCAAAGCATAGCCAATAGCACTTCTCGCATTGCATAATGCCGTTCCCAACCTGCCCTGATTGCACTGCAGAATCAACCGAATGCACGGCTGAATAATCGCGATGCCTTCGGAGGCTTGTTGTAGCCTCACACCTTCAGCTGCGAGCTTGCAAGACTGCCAAAACTAAGAGCAGCCAGCTTCTTGGGCTGTCTATGAGCATGACAAGTGCCGCAGAGTGCCAGAAATCAAAAGCAAGGTCTTGAGCGTCAAGGCAAGCTGAGAGATTCTGATGGCCGGAATATCCATTTGATGAGAACTTCAACGTACAAAGCCCTTCCCAATTGATCATGTTGAGCGTCCTGGTGAAGCGAAATGGCACCATGACATTTAGTCCTTTTCAAGACTGCCAGCTTCAAAATCTCAAGTTCTCTTCCGCGTGCTGAAGCATAAAATCTGCCCCGGGGACTGAACATCAGAGTCTGACCACACGGTCAAGTAATTACCCACATGCCTCTCAAGGCAGGTCGCGCTGCAATACCATTTTCGTACCTGATGAAAGCCGACGTGTCACACTAGACTCAGTAGACCTCAAGGCGGCTGGGGCCAAAGCCAGCTATGGATGGCCCGCTTACGCTCGATCATGACCTTGCTCTGAAAGCACGACATTGGATAGAAGAGATCGACTTCGCGCTTCTGCGCAGTCTGGGACTTCTGGGCCAGGCGCCGGGAGCATCTCAGCAGCGGCGCAGCCCACAGCAGCTAACCTTGCTTCAGGCACAAGGCACTACGACCGATCCTGACTCAGAAGCAAAGTAAACCCAAGCGCTTCCCTTTTCTCCATGGGTGCGATATGGAGCTGCAGACGACTCTTTGCCAGGTGAGCACAGGTGCACCATGGTGCACCAGGAGGCATTGCTTGCAAGGACCTCTCATGCGGCCGTGGTCTCGTGGTCTTGGTAATCAAGGCAGCGGGTGCCTTGGAGCTTGAACAGGGCTGCAGACTGCTAGAAGGCGACGCTTGGGCGGATCTAGAGCGTTTTAGGCCACTTGGAGGTCATGGCTCCGCCCAGTAAGTGCCTATCTGTTATTGAGCTTGGGATTGTGGCCCGTCCATGAAGCTTCAAGTTGGGGAACGGATGAGAGCCTCATCCGCAAGCTTCTCAAGCGTTCAGGCTTGGGGTCTGGGTGGCAGAGTACTTGCCAAGGCACTCAGGACAAGCAAGACCAGTTTGGACAAAGGTAGCTTGCTCCCAACTGCAACTGGCACTTCAACACACACACCCGCACACCGAAATATCAAAGCATGCATGGAGCTACTTCGAAGCTTCACCGACCTTACAAGGAAAGCCTACTCATGTTGGTTCGCAATGGAAGCGTACGGACATGCATGGCCGCTCATTGAGAGGCTGCACTGTGGCTGCTGTTTGGGATCACCAACCGCCCATGCGTTCGAACTGTGCCGCTGAGTTGATTTGTCGATCAAGAGGAGCGGCGGGGCAGTAGGTGACCAGTGCCGCAGTGGATCCGGAGGCAGCGCCAACCTTGCTAGCACCAGCAGCATACTATGCCGTGGCATGAACTGTGAATTCAGTCAGATTCTGCGGCCACGAAGCTGGTATCGCTGAGGAAGCTTGAGCTGCTGGGCTGCTTGTTCGGCTGCCACCTGCAGTGCAGCTGAGCAATGGAAGCAGAGTGACGCGGAATGCTTCATGCCGTCCACGGGATGCTTTGTAAAGGCCTGTGCATTCTCCAAATAGCCTGGCACAGCACGGCACAAGTCATGCCTCAGGCAGTCTGCAATGGCTACGCACATGACTGAGCAATGCGCGTTCGTCGCGCGCTTTCTTTTCACTGCTGTGTGCAGCTCCCAACCACTCTTCTGCTTCCTTCTCCTGCAGGGAAGCGGTAGCACAGCACGCATCCAAAACCGCATCTTGCGTTTGCACCCACAGCGGGTAGCGGATGCTGACAGGGGTAGAAGAAGCGTCAAAGCGCTAGCAGAATGATGCAATGCCACGCAACTCGTTTTGTCACTTGTCCTTGGCAGCAGCCTGTTGCGCCGTCTGCGCTGCAAACTGCTCGGTGAGGTCGGCTGACGTGTCCTGCAGGGCTGCCCTGGCAAGTGCATGCTTTGCTGGCCCAGACAGAGGTACATGGTTTTTTACGTCTTGCGCGTTAGAGATCCAGATCTGTTGTGGATAGTATAGCTTCCCTCTGCAGCAGATGTCCTTTCCACGCCTGCGCAGCACCGCTGCCTGAGCTGTTGCATGCTGTTGCACACAAGCTCACCAGCATGGCAGAAAGAACAATAAGCTACATGCTGGAATCTGCTCACAGACACAATGTAATTTCCTCTGAGCTGGTGCCTTCGTCCTCAGCTCATCGGCTTTTGACTGAAGGTCCTGATTTGGATGATCATATAGAAATGAATGGAATTCAGAGATCCACAGCTGAAAACACCGCACGATCTCTTGACACCCTCACAATTCCTCCCAGTCCCCATGTGTCCTTCGCCTCTCTGGAGGCTTGGCTGGAGGCCTGGCGGTCCAGGCTCGGCAGCGTCTCAGCAAAGTGAGCCTGTGCCTATCAAGTGGGCAGAGAAGCACCACAGTAGCAAGAGTCGCAAGAAGGACCTGATTCAACGGAATGAGTTGGTGGCCTCCAGGTACGGTCGGGCAGCTGCCCGAGCTGCCTATGCACTTCAGCTCTGCAAACCAATATGAAGCAGCAACGCTTGCTGGCGAAAACCTATCCACGGAGACCAATCATGTGGAGCTTACACCCCTGTCCTTGGCTCCTCGGATACATGCAGCCCACCTCGGCTGCCTGGATTCGCCAAGGCTTTGGGCCTTGGACTGTGGCAAGCCTGCCACGATGCTACAGGCCACGGCAGGCTTGCCACGCAGTCTCACGCAGTCAGAAAGTCCTTGGCCTGTCGGTCTGCTTCATGAAGTTCAGGTCCTCTCTTGGAAGACTGAACTTCATTAGATGTCACTTGAAAATGTGAGGTTCGACAGCACAGATTGAGGTCATCATCAACTTGCTCAGCGCGCATCAATGCCTCATGGTTCATAGACAGCATCGTGGCCTTGTCTGCTTGCAGCATTGCTTGTGACCACGTGCCGTTGCGACCCACCTTCAATGCCTCCGTGCACAGTCAGCAGCGACCACAATGAGCATACAAGACATTTTTACTGGCCGGAGCACAATCAAGAATGAGCCAGCACATATGTCCATACGCATTAAGCAGGGCATGAATGTCACTGCAAAGCAGGGCATGAATGTCACTGCAAGCCTCCATGGACTTCCTTGCCGCACGTGCCGCCTTCGCTGCGAATCCCTGCAAACCACAGAATTCATGTGGCTTATTGCGGCTTAGCCTGCCATCTTAGGACACTATGACACTATGTGTCTTCATTGCACAGTTCAAAACTGTCAGTCTCCGCACGCATGGCAGGAGCTGAGCGAATTGATCATTAAATCCTTAGAAACCTGCATTCACACAAAATCAAGCAGCTGTGGAAGCATCTCAGCAACCCAACCCACGCTGTCCTCAGCACGCCAGGCTGCATCTCGGGCATGGCTTGCAGCCTACGAGGTAAGCGATGTGGATTCTGAACACAAACATGTGCGCCCAAAACGCTGCTTTGAAATCTGTCGGTGCATGACGGTGCTTCGAAATTATCTGACGCTTTTGTGGTTGCGGGGCATCATCAACTACTTCTAGCAACAGGGCGTAGCAACAATATGGAGCACGCATCAGCAATGTAAGTCTAAAACGATGTTCCGCCCGGCAGACATAACAAGTTTACAATCCAAGCACTAGCGTTTGGGTGGTGGGGTGGCTTCTGTGAGGCTTGGATTTATCATAGTTCTGTTTTGCAAGCATACTGCGAAGTTGGGCACAGCAGGGAGAAATTTGGGACTGCAGTGAAACTGGGAGGGTGATCCAGTGCGCACTCCAAGATCAGCATCCAGCGCACTCTTTTTGCAGCCGGTGCGCACTCCTCGAATCTGAAAGTTTAGGGATTAGGGTTTAGGGGTTTAGGGTTTAGGGTTTAGGGTTAGGGGTGGGGGTTCGGGGGTTTGGGGTTTGGGGTTTAGAGTTTAGGGTTTAGGGTTCAGGGTATGGGTTTCAGGCTTTACGGTTTTCGGGTTTTAGGGTTTTAGGGTTTAAGGTTTCGGGTTTAGGGTTCAGGGTCGTGGGTTCAGGCTTTAGGGTTTAGAGTTTTTTAAGTGCAATAGCTCCAGGGTTTAGGGTTTAGGGTGTAGGGTTTTCCTTTTAGGGCTTAGGGTTTAGGATTTAGGTTTCAGGGTTTTTGGGTTTCGGGTTTAGGGGAGAGAGGACTCGTAAGTCGTGCGTATACATGTACATATATTTATATGTACATATTATATGGCAGGGAAGAAAGGACCCCTAAGTCATGCGTGCGGCCTAGCTATTCTGCTTCGAAACACACCTACAAGCGCACAGCGAACACTCGACGCAAATCGGAGCGCACACTCGATGCCTCCGTGAAACTTCTGGGGTGCGTTGGGTCTGGGGTCCTGCAGGGACTTTCTGCGGATTAGGCGCTGCAGGCAGGGAGACTTTGAGGTTGGGCGTGGCAGGGCTGAGTTGTGAATCATATCTTGGAGTTGGGCACTGCAAAGTTTGGGGCACTCCGGGCATACTCTACGCTGCTGGATACTCTGCGTTTCAAACTACGGGATACTGTGCATTTGGGCACTGTGGGACTGCATGGATACTCTCCCTGGCGTGCCCAAGCGTGGTATCCCCCAACAACAGAGTATTCGAGTACTGTCGGGGTACTCTCCGGTTGGGCACTGCAGGGATACTGGGCGGTTGTACTCTGCCGTTGGGCACTGCACGGAAGGCGAAGAGAACATAAACGTCTGAAATCTAACAAGCCAACTGCGAGGGTGGAGAAAAAGCACCACAAAGCCATTCCTCTCCATGTCATGGCAGGATTAGAAGAGTCGTTTTAGCAAAATGTGTCTACGGCCATGTCTCTTCATCTCGTGGCATGAGGAATGATAAGAGGGATCGGTTCTAGCGAATTGTCCGTATGGCCACTCCTCTTGGTGTCATCCCATGATGAAACAAAACATCCCTAATCATGGCCATGCCTCTTCACGCCATGGCATGATGAGAGGAGTGGTATTTGTTTAATAAAATGTCCGTATGACCATGCCTCCTCATGGCATATGAGAGGGGTGGATTTCAACAAACGATCGCCTGGCACGTGCCTGTTCATGCCATGGCATGATGAGAGGAGGCCGGCATAGAAAGTGTGCAAGAAACACGTCTCCGGTTGGGTTCTCCTTGCCTTTTTGTAGGTATGTTAGAATTAGATTTCCGGTGTTCCTGTTGGTTGCTCACAGTTAGCTTCGGTTCGTGAAATTAGCCTTCCGGTTTGGGAGAATTGCCTTCTGGTTCGTGATATGCAGTGTGGCTCATGATATGGGTGGTTGTCAAAACTATGGTCCTTTTTTGGGTACCCTAAATATTAGGTGCCGTATTATGATAGGAATCCAAAAAGGGACCACAATTTTGACAACCACCAATATTTGATTTGCCACATAGCAGTTTGCTTGAGGAGATGGTCACGAGCCTTCCATCAAAGAGACCTTGTACTTTCTACAAATGCTTCGTGCTCACCTTGCAGGTTCCTAAGCCAGTTGTCAGAGTTCTGGTTCATCGACCCCCCAATGTTCGAAGGGTCCAGAAACCAAGTACACAATGAACCAGCAGGTGGCGAGATCTGCAGTGATTAATACTTTGCACTGTGCACCTCTCAGCTGAGTTGTACAATTTTTAATTTGTTTTTTGCATACGGCCAAAATCAATGATCCGGGCAAATCCCAGCTTCGGAGTTTAGAGCTGCATGCAGTGCAGCCAGACCGCTGAAAATGACCAGGAGTGCTACTGCGCAAAGGAACCAAACATCGGAAATCAAGCCTCAGCACTGTCAAGCCTGGATCAGTCATGTCCCTCCGGGCCCTGAAGCTCATCCCAACAGTAGAACATTTGTTGCAGCGTAGACACCAACAGAGGATCGCCAGACATGTCAATATCCTTGGGCAGCTGGATGTGGATCTCAAAATCTGTCCCAGAGCTTGAAATCATGCCGAGTGTCAGGAAAGTCTGCAAGCTCCTTAGTATTCTTGTCATCATGAGGTGCCTGCTTCGAGGAGTCCTCGTCTTTCAGGCGGTCGAAAACAACACAGCTCAAACGTGTGGGGATCAGCACCAGTCCTCCTCACCAGCTTCAGTCTGTTCCACTGCCAGAGACAAGGTTTGAGAATGATGCTCGTACAAGAAGGCAGGGTCCATGGGATTTCCATCCCCATCGAGAACCTGGCAGTGTGACTCTTGCGCTTTGTTCCTTGATGTTTGCTGCAGATGCGGAGTTCGCCTGCTTGGTCTCATCCGCTGCCAAGGCTAGACATTGGGAGCTCATCTGGCTGGTCAAGCCCAGGGGCGGCTTGCACTCCTGTATGCCACTTACACTACCACTGCTTGGCTCTGGCTGCTGCACCTACATCTCGAAGCTGACCCGCCGATTCTGCAAGCAAGGTGCGTAGAAACAGAAACGAGCATAGTCCACCACCTGATCGCGAGCCACAAGCCCAAGCACCTCGGATGTTCAGGCTAAACTGGCTCCGGGTGCTGCTCAGCTGTACATCTTGATCTGCCTCATCGCGAGGAGTTGTCAAGCATTGTGCTGCGCACACCTCACTGCTGTGGCCCTCCGCTGGGGCACACTTAATGCCTGCAAGCTACGGACATGCAGAGTCTCATCAGCATGTACAAGTTCATGCAACAGAATGTACGCAGAAATGCGCGAAAGGCCTACAGCACCTTGGCGCTCATCGGGTCGACGCTGCACAACAGCACAGCCTCAGCGAACGCCGGCCATGCCATGCGAGAAAATCAGGCAAACATGGCCAACGTCGCGGCGCTTGACCTTCCAATCTTTAGTAGCACAATGTTCTGGCGGCGTCTTCTTTCCAAAGCAATTGTTTTACAAGATCCTGGAGTTGGCCACTGACCTGTCCTTTGTCTTCACGAATCCCAAACCCGTGCAAGTTCCTCGCAGCACAATGTTGTCAGAAATGGGGTCAGAAATGGGAACAAAGTCTAACTTTCCCAAAATTAAAATCGAGCGCGCAGAATATCCAACAAAGCATCTAAGGCTATTATCAGAGGATTTGTTTCAAAAACCGTCGCGGCAGCTCTCACCCAATCTCCTGAAACCGTCGTGTAAAACGTGAAACTTCAATGCAACAAATGCAGAAGTGCTTTGGGAAGGAACAGTCGCAGGAGCAGCCAGTAGAACGGCCTGGCAAGTCATGCTGTAAGTGTCCTTCTGGCTTCTCTCTTTGCTTAAGTCTTACTTTCCAGTACCCTGCCAGCCTTGCCGCTTTGCTTTCCCACGGAGCTCGGCTCTGGCGACCGCCAGCAACAGCAAGGCGACCGCAAATCTCATGCTGTGCAGTGAGAGTAGTGCTTGGGTTTGCATGCAGAACATTTTGAGACATACTGACTTTCCAGTGACACAACTGATCAAGCTAAACAAGAAAAGACAGTGTGGGACCCGATTAACTCAACATCCGGAAGTCGTCCCCGGGCTTCGTTTGGGCACCCCGGGCAGCCCTTTCGGGCAGCCCTGTGGATGGCTGAGCCAAGTGGCGACAGATGTACATACAGCAATCTTGCAAGCGAAACAGGTCGGAGTTCTCAACATTCCAGGTCCACTACGAAGGTCCTTGAAATTAGCAGTATATCATGTTGGCTAATGCATCCTGGAGTCAGGAAACAACACCAAACCATCGGAACTGGATAAGCAAAGTATGGAGACGCGTACCACAACCATGGTTCCGACATGAAATGCTGCTCATGCAGCATTCGGTCATACGGAAACTTGCTGTATTGCAATCATGTCTTGCTTGCAGAAACGTTCCGTGAAGTCGGCATGCAGAGGCTGCTGCATTTCAGGCATGCGGAAGTTCTGACCGACTGCGTCGTGCTCGTAAACGCGCCACAGGCCCACGCCTCCATCCAGACAATGTCAGGGATGAATTCTTTGAGGCAAGCTGACCCTTTAACTCAAAATTGAACACTTCAAACTTTGACTCAAATGCTGACAGCAGACGGGTGAGCACAGACACAAGAGGCAATATTTCCCGTTCAAGCCTAGGACGAATGCATGCCCTCCGCAATCCCAGGCCTCTGCAAGGAGCCCTAGAGCCTTGGCAAATGAGAGTCCAGCTCACATCACGAGGATACAAGATAAAAAGGCTCTACAGGAAGCAATTTTGGTGGCCAGGTCTGCTCAGGCATAGTCCCTGCTACTCACGGAAACTAGATTCATCGCTGACGTGATAAACGAAGCCAACGAACTGCCCAAAACTTGAAACAAACTGTTCCCAAAGTTCTCATGGTTTTGAGCCCTACAGGGTGGACTGTACAGATTTGTCCAGTTTTGTTGAGCATCGATTTCTGAGAATGTCATTCATATGCTCCCTCGTTGTGCCTTCTGGGGTGGCGAATTTTCAAAGTGTCCCGTGTGTGCTGCCTGCTTTTGGAATCTACTGTTACAGAAGGATACCCAAAAGCAATCAGGTTCCTTAATTACGCTTGGGCTTAAGCAGCACTGCACTTTATTTGAATTCGAAGTCCTCAAGAAGGTCGAAGGCGCACCCTTGCAACGAAGAAAGTCTATTTCAGTTTACCTATTTGCGCATCTTGAAATACTAGTAAACGGAGGCTTGCTCAAACGAAACTGTGCTGCAAGCTCTCTTTGTGACGAGTAGCACCACCACTTGGCCCTAGCGACAAGGGTGGCGTCATTCCCGAGGATGGCTCCACCCTTCAGCAAGTGATTACAACAGGTTTAAAGCTCTGTTCGTTGGATGAGGTTCCTCCCAATCCGGATGACGTCCTGCTGCGCTTGTGTTTATGGATCTCCCGCCTCGCCCACGCCGATCATTTTCTCTGAACGCCTCGGCAGGGATCACAAATTTACGTTCATCATGGGCTGAGACCCAAGCATTGGATTGGTCGAGCGCTACATTCGATCTAGGAATGCCATGTTGCAGGACAGGCATGGTTCATGTGAAGTAAACCTGCATGATCGGCAACTTGGATGCACGAGCCGGTCTTGTTGGGACTTGGGACCAACAAATGCCATCCTAAAGTTCTCTGATCAGGCGTGCTGGAATAGCTTCAAAATGACTGGCCGGAAAGCAGCCACCGTCTGCCCAGCATGTTGCTTTACAGCTCTGAGGTTGCGTCGTCGACACAACACTCAATGTTGCCATTGACCCCACCGGGACTCGGAAGCCACGTACCTCGAAACATCTAAAGGTACACCATGAAACCCCAAACTGCCACAGACTCTTGCCCAGATTTCAGAAGAGTTTAAAGCAACAGAGAGATGCTTGCTGAACCCGATGAAGCCCTGGGCACGTTGCAGCTGGCTCCGTACGACTCACAGGCATCCTCGCAGCACTGCTGCACAGCTCTGCAAGTAGCAACAGCCTATCCCAAAGCAGCAAACATGCGGAGAAGGCCCCCTAGGCTCTGCGGTCCTCACAAAGCCAGAGACCCTTCTCTTTGCAGAGCGCCTGCAGCTTGCTAGCACTGCAAGGTGTACGACACTGAAAGCCGCTTCCGGAGCACCTGAATCGCACCAAAATCTCGTGCAGGGACGCCATAGCACGGAGCAATGACAATGCCCACAACACCCTGCGAGCAAGAAGCTGGATCTTCTTAGTGAAAATGCCATGCTCTGGTTTCAAAGCAGAATCTCTGGGTTTCCCTTGCTAAGATGTTTGCCTCTGGCATTTGAATTTGTTGCTGTTTCCATAGCCATCTGCATGGGCGCGTTGCCAGCAGCACACATGCATGCCCAATTGCGGTCCTTGTTCGCCTCAAGGCCGCTTTGGACAGCCTCCAATGATAGGCCGTAGGAGTCCAAGTCGCAGTCGATGGGGATTGGCCTACCGAGAAGCCAACTAAACTAGTCAATCTAAACACGAGTCGCAGTGGATATGCAGCCTGCCACCAGCATGGACAATAGCATCGGCACATGCTGCACCTCAAAGTTGGAAAAACATCAAGCAGTACATGTGCTTCCTGAGTGTTAACATTTTGCCTGATGCAGAAGCAAAGCTGGGCCTCTGGCAAGTGAAAGCAGGAACCAAGACATGGTGAGAAGGATCCGACACGCCTAGTGCCTGAGGCGGTCATAGACGCAAACCTTTGAAGACATACGTTGAATCTTTCAGTGCAGATGCACTCAAAGCGATCTTGATGGCTCTTGTGATTCATCTCAGAATAGGCCTTCATGGCTCCATACAGCGCAGCTGTACCACTTTGCACGGCGCATGCCTCACTGACACAAGCACATCGGCATTTCTCAATAAGATGGGGCCCATGTCTCTGAAAGCTCTACAACGGCTCCCGAGGGTCCAGCTGCTGAGCAACCACAGATACGAGCTAGGTGCTTCTCGAACTGCTTCACCTGGCAATGTGCTGCTGCAAGAACGAAAATGTTCAATGGGCTCTGTTCAGCACAATATTGCAGCTCAGCAACATATGGGCCCTCAACACCTCAGAATGCACAATTTATCACAAACAGCGCACGCCCTGTCAAGATGGACTGAGCCGTTTAGAAGTCCGATGCCAGTGTCCCCGAGTAAAACTTTTTGCGGCCTACGACCGACGACAAAGAGCTTCGTGAAATTCCAAACATTTCGAAGGGCATTTATATTCTACAATTACAAGCAGTGAAGGTTCCCCAGTTTGTACAAAGTTTGGACACGTTTATACTGGGGTGGGGGCGCCTACTACGAGTTCCACTACCATCAATTAGCTGACCATAGGGGCCCCCTGAAACTTAAGTTTTTGGCCCACTATTATTCCTGATAGGAAATCCAAACGATTCAAGTCCTAAGAGAGGATGAAGGCAGCCAAGATCACTACCACCATTATCTCCACTTCTACCATCTCAACCACTACCATCACGACGGCCACTACTACCAGAATTACCACGACCAAATCCACAACCAACCCTGCTGCTGCTCCTACTCGAATACCACTTTCCTACAACTACGAATTGGACAACCGCTACTGCCATCACCGCTGATGACATACTTATGGGGAAAGGCAGTTGATCCAAGAGTTCAAGAAAATTAACTCCTGAATTAACTGCCCGGGTCTGGCACCTTGGCAATCCCCTACATCCAGAAACAATTAAATCCTGATTTAACTTAACTGTTCTAGTACGTCGGGCAGCGCCTTCCCCATGTGCCTCACGTGCACAATTAAATCATGATTTAATTGTGCATTCTGGGAAGCCCCTACGTCCACAATTAAATCCTGATTTAACTGTTTTAGTACGTCGTGCAGCGCCTTCCCCATACGTATACATATACATATACATATACAAAGACATATACAAATATATATATATAAAGATCGTAGGGTACGGCTACAATCCGCACAATTACATCGTGATTTAATTGTGGCTAGGGGCCTCTGG